TGCTGCCTTTAATGTGTACAGGGATACTAGGAATAAAGCATTAATTACACTCAATTACTAGAGTAAATTAATGCATTAACCACATGAATGAGTAAATGAATAAACTGTAAAGAAATGAGACATTTTCTTTTTAAATTTATTTATTTGAGAGGGTTGGGGCCACACCCGGTGGTGCTTAGGGGTAACTCCTGAGCATCATGAGGAGTGATCCTTCAACGTAGAGCCAGGAGTAAGCTCTGAGCATAGCCAGGTGTGGTCCAACTCCCTCTGAATTTTAATTTATTTTTTTCTTCATTTTTCTGATTTCATTTCCTTTTAAATTTAATTATTCAAACAACATCCATAGTATTGTCCACAGGGACAAAAAGAGAATCTGGGACAATTTTTTTTAATGTAGGAGTACTGATATTTATTCATTCATTGATTAAACTGACTGAATTTGGCATAAACTCCACATTACTTTTTTATGTAGGAGTACTGCTATTTATTCAGCCACTGATTGGCTGATTGAATTGTGCATGAACTCCACCTTACTTTTTTTTCATTTTTTATAATTTTATTTATTGAATCACCGTGAGAACAGTTACAAAGCTTTCGGGTCTAAGTCTCAGTCATGCAATGAAACATCCGTACCTTCACCAGTGCCCATTCTCCACCCCCAACAACCCCAGGATACCCCCATCCCAAACCCTACCCCTACCTGTGGGGCAGATGATTTCCACATTACTCTCTCTCTACTTTGATCACATTCACTATTTTGACACCAGACCCACCATTACTATTTGAGATTTTACCCCAACACTCAGATCTGCCAAAAAGGCAACAGTAGACAATTTGTTTTCTATTACTGGTTATGACTAACATATGATGCCACGTGGCTGCAGTAGTGGCTGCGCGATTTTGAAATTCCGAAATTTTAACACTTAAATCTGGAGGGATTTCTGCCAAAACCTGCTGGGTTCCACAATTTGCTCCTGAGTCTCTGGGATCATGGCCGTTCAGCAGCCTGTTCAGGAGCCAGAAAGGCCGTTCGTGGGCGATGACTTGGGGTCTCTTTGGGGTGGGGAGGACAGGACTGGCTCCACCCCCATCCCGTGAGACCCAAAATGTTTCATCACTGCAGGCCCAAGCCTGACTGTCCAATGGCCTCTGGAGGATGGCGGCCACCGAGCCACCAAGGTGGAGCAGGCGGAAGGACAGCACCCTTTCCCCCCTGGGGTGGTCCGGCGACAGTAACCTACTGCAGGGTCCGGGCACATTTCTGCCAAAAGCCACTGGGTTTCGAGATTTGTTTCTGAGACTCTGGGATCATGGCCGTTAAGCAGCTTGAACAGGAGCCAGAAAGGTCGTTCGTGGGTGATGACTTAGGGTCTCATTGGGGTGGAAGGACAGGACCGGCTCCACCCCCATCCCGTGAGGCCCTGCATGTCTCGTCACTGCGGGCCCAAACCTGACTGTCCAGTGGCCTCTGGAGGATGGTTGCCACCAGGCCGCCAGGGGAAACAGGCCAAGGCACGAAACCTATTCCCACCTGGCTTGGCCCAACCTATTCCCACCTGGCTTGGCCCAGCACCGGTAACCTACTGCAGGGACTGGACGCATTTCTGCCAAAAGCTGCTGGGTTTCGAGATTTGTTTCTGAGTCTCTGGAATCATGGCCATTAAGCAGTTCAATCAGGAATCAGAAAGGCCATGCCTCCAATTATATACCTGAGCCGGTGGTGGCTTGTGGGTGTGTTTCCCACATGCCTAACTTTTGGTAGTTTACTTTCTTGGTAAACTTGGTCCCAAGTTGTTCAGGTCTGGCCAAAGGCACAGCAGCAATTTTGGGGTATTTGGAAGTCTGAAGGCGCCATCAGGCTGCTGATGCACTTGCCTCACAGGTACAGATTGACCTGCTGGTGGCACCATACCCCCTCTCATTACTTTTTTAATAAAAGAATTTAAATTGAATATCCATGAGATAAATCATTACAAAGCTGATCATAATTAGATTTCAGTCATACAATGATCCAGCCCCTACCCCTCCATAAGTGTACATTTCCCACCACCAATGTCCCCCTTTTCCTAACACCATCCCACCAAAATCCCACACCCCACACCCAGTCTCCCTCTATGGGAAGCATTTGCCTTCACTCTCTCTCCTTGAACTTTTGTGCATTATGGTTTGCAATGCAGGTGCTGAGAGGTCATGGTTTTTCCTTCAGGGCATTTGGTATTTTTATTGGGATGGTAAGTCTGACGTAGTTTTTCAATTGGGCGGCCACTTTGGAGTGTAGATGTGACTGCTGAGGCTTCTTGGAAGTACAGGGAAGTGGGGGGAGGTAGCCCATCCCAACTCTGAGAAAGCGTGGATATTTCAATTACAAAACCCGAACATCCGAGGGGCTGGAGCGATAGCACAGCGGGTAGGGCGTTTGCCTTGCACGCAGCCAACATGGCCGACACAGGTTCGATTTCCAGCATCCCATATGGTCCTCCGAGCACCGCCAGGAGTGATTCCTGAGTGCATGAGCCAGGAGTAACCCCTGAGCATCGCCGGGTGTGACCAAAAAAGCAAACAAACAAACAAACAAAAACCTGAACACCCGAATTTTCAGCAGATTATATCTTGGTGAGGTCCTTTCTGAGATGGTGGAGTCAGGCTGGGAGTGTGGTGGTGATTTTGGATTGTGGAAACAAGCGGCTGCTGGGGGCTATGCTTGGGCGGGCCCCTGGCCAACCCACTCCCTCAGATTCAGCCCAGTTTTTTCACCTATGCGTGGATCCGGGATTCACTGCAGTTTTTATCTCTTTCAAGATTTATGGGTCTCTGAAATAAGGCTAATAAATGAGTTTGTATAACTGAGCCGGAGGTGGTTTGTGGGCATAGCTCCCACATACCTAGCTTTTGGCCATTTAAATTCTTGGTAAACTTGGCCCCAAGCTGTTGCATCTAACCAAAGGCAAAGTGGCAACTTTGGGGTATCAGAAAACCTGAAGACACCATAAGGCTGCTGAAGCACTTGCCCCGGAGGTACAGGTTGACCTGCTGGCAGCACCATACCCCGGGGAGTACAATTCTTTAAGAAAGCAAAAACTAGCTCAAAATAGCTCAACAAGTTGGAGCTTATACTTTGCCTGCAGGAATCCCAATTTTGATCCCGGGTTCCATACCATAATTTGTTCCTTTGAACAGTATCAGGAATGATCCTAAGCATAGAGCCTAGTCCACAAACAAACCAAATAAGTCTTCCCTGCCATTCATCAGTTTGGGGTGGCAGAAATAGGTGAATTTAGATATAAAATTAACAGGACACATTCTTCTTCAAGGAAATGTTGCAGCTGTAATGCCATAAATAACTTCTATTTTAAGTGACTGCTGCTTCCTAAGTCACTGAGAAACAGTGTTACCTGCAATCATAGACTATTAGGAGTTGCTTTTCAAAATGCTATCAGCAGAAATGAACATCCCACTCCTGCTAGAGATTTGAAGTCGCTTAGCCACAAAGAACCAGTCAGGATTTCTAACCTTGGTGCAGAGATAAGGAGTATCTAAACAAAACATCTACATCTATCTTAATTTCCTTGTTTCCAAGGAAACGGTATTATGGATTCACTTTGCTGTCCATTTACTGCCTAGCTCTCCTTTGAGCTTACAAAACACTGCTCCACTAAAATTCCATATTAAATTCCATCTATTCTTCATAATTCTATGTGTCTTTTCATCCTTTGTTTAGCTAGCTACTCCACAATTCCTGTCTTCGTTGAGTGATGGATGTGCTTGTCTATAATTTAGTATAGGATGGTCTTAGGCTAACTGGAATAGGATGCTCCATACACTCAAATTGTTTAATGGACACCTTGGGGGGATGTGATTGGACTGTGAGTGTGTAGCGAATTTGCACCTGAACCTACATCAGGTCCCCTTTTCCTCGGAAGAGGCAATAAGGCTTTTAGGGAGCATTTAGTCATCTACCTCTGCCAGGAGGACTCACTGATGTTGAACTTCGTTTTGAAGGATAAGAAGGCATTCCCAAGTTAATCACCCCATAATTTCTCTCTTTGGTTGGATAATGGAGATGCCCCTCCGCCCTTCTGAGAAGGGCGGAGGGGCATCTCCATTATTCCTGTATTAAAGGTGACAGTGGCAGTAAAGTTGGTATAAGGGTAGATTGTCTTGTCCTAGAGCTACATTTGCAAATTAAACCCCCACAGATTTATATTATGAGGAAATGAAAATAAAGATTTCTAAAGATGTTCTTGTGGACATATTGCTCCAGATTAAGAAAACAAAAATTATTATCGGTACACTTATTTTAGAAAGGTGGCTGAAGTGAAGAAAAATGTAGATTATGTGGCCATCCAAACTCTATACAGCCAGTACCAGTAACAAAGCAGAGAGAACTCTAACACTGATATCTCCCCCAACTCCCACTCCTCCAATATTATATCCTAGGAGGGCTAACACATATCTGATTGCTTCCTTCTTCCTTTGTGGTATGTTCCAGGAGAGGTCTCTAAATAGTTTGACTTTTTCCTCTTCTTATTCTTTAGTATTTGCCAATAGATAGCAACCAGTATTGGCACCTCAGTATCTCTGACATCATTGTCGTCGTCATCATCATCATCATCATTACACAGATTTATAAAGTACAGATAGAAAGAACCTCTTCTAATAATTCCCCCCAGTGAAACGTGAAACGTTAACCGCCGTCTCTGACAGTTCCTCTCTTTTGGTCGGAGTTCAGAGACCGCCTCATTTTTGGTACGGAACAGACACTTCTCTAACATGGCGTGTCTCGTAGAGAATCGCCAACTGGGCGCGGCCATGTTTCGCCTTCAGAAAGCACTGCAGAGGAGCGCAGAGAGTCTCAAGGTAACAATGCTCTAATATCTCCATATTGACTCTTGGAAAGCGGCTTCCAATATGGTATTGCGCGTGCGTAAGACCACGCCCCCATAGTGCTCTGCTCCAAACCCCGGTAGGGGCGGTACTAAGGGTGATGACCGGAAGTTGCTGCCGTTCGCAGACGCCGAAGCTTAATAGTTGTCAGAAGGCTTTCAATGCTTTGTGGAGGTGATGGGGGCCGGGGTTGGGTGAGTGTTGGGGAATAATGTGTGGTCAGTGTCGGAATAAGTAGTGTAATTATATTTGACGGTTTCTGAATTATTTTACAGGCTTTTCTCTTTTATCTTATTGACGTTAAGATTTTAAAGTTCACCCTAGGACCCACAAGGTTTTGTGCATTATGCCCTATGTGTTTTATAAGAGTTGGTAATTTTCCTTTTTCCTTTGAGTTATTCAGAAATATGTCTTCAGTTTCCAATAATTTATTTTTTAATGGATTTTAAATATTAGTTTCTGTAGTCATAAAAAGAGATTCAAGGCCTAGACCGTGATGAATTTGAATACATATTCCATATTCCATCTATAACTAGAAACAATATATAATTGTCTCATTGTTAATTGGCTGGCACAACATTTGTACTTTTTGTGTGTCCTTTTTCTGTTGCTGAGAGGAAAAATTCTTCACTAAGTTGGTGATCTATCTTTTTTCTTCTTTCTTTTGTACACGAACCATTTAGATTTAAGTTCTGTACAAAGCATAAGACTTTGATTGATGTTCATTTATTTGGATGCCGAGTTACTCAAGAGCCATTTACTGAAAAGTCATATTTCTGCTAACGACTTGTTTTGTATTATTGTAAAAATTTAGTTGGCTCTATTCTATTTCTTTTCCACTCATCTAAGATTTGTTCATATTTATCATGGATGGATTTTTAAAATTTTGTCAAGATTATGTGAATTATATAATCTGTAATTTTTAAAATTCAATTGTATGATCTATGATTTTTCTTCTACAGTTTGTTAATATGGGGATTACACTGATTGTTACTTGAATATTAATCTAGCCTTACATTCCTGGAGTAAATCTCACTTGGTTTTTGCATATAATTTCTTTTATATATGCAAGAATAAATAACACTCTGGTTTTATTTTAGTTTTTTGCATCCAAGTTCATAAGATATATTTGTCTATAGTTTTCTTTTTGTGTGTGGTTTTAGTATAAGGATAATACTGGCCTTATAAAATAAGTTGGCAGTAAAGCATTCTAGTTTCTGCCAAAGGTTGTCTAGAATTGTGATAATTTTTCTTTAAATGGTAGATTTTCCAGCAAAACCATCTGTTATGGATTCACTTTCTGCAGTATTGACTATTCAGATATCATTCAGTATCTTTTCACAGTGTTTTTTTTAAGTAGAGGTCAAATTAGTAGTTTGTGTTTTGTGGGGAATTGACAATTTAAATTTTAAATTGTTCAATAATGTGTATAAAGTTGTCTTGGCCCTTACTATCCCTTCATTAAATTTTTTGTGGAGCCAGAGCGATAGTGGGTAGGGCGTTTAGCTTGCAAGCTGCTGACCAGAGTTCAATCCCCAGCATCACATATGTTCGAGAGCCCTGCCAGGAGTGATCCCTGAATTCGGAGCCAGGAGTAAGCTCTAAGCACTGGGTGTACAACAAATTACCCTTCACACGCACAAATTTGTTTGGGTGCTTGGAATTAAACCCATGGCCTCACACTTGTGAAGTATGCTCTACTCCAGCCTCTTTTTCTTGCAGTATTAAATATTTTTTAAGTTTTATTAAAGAGCCATGATTTACAAAGTTACTGATAGTTGTGTTTTAGGCATACAGTAATTCAACACCAATACCTCCACCAGTGTAACTTCCCTCCACCAGTGTTTCTAGATTCTCTCCCCTTCCCAACCCCTACTGTAACCCTGCCTGCCAACTTGACACTTTCAGGTTTCAGTGGTTACTGCTTAGATCTCATCTTTTCAGTTCGGTTGAACCTATGTTTTGGATATATGGCTATACCCCTCCCTCATATAACTGGTATAACTGAAACCCTGGTCCCTCTTAATCCATTATTTCTTGTTCTCTTCTCACACCCCCCCCCCCACTTGATTTCTTTCCTTTTCTGTCTATCTTCTCTGTAAACACTGGGGTCAAGGATGGGGTCATTCCCTATTTACAATACATCTCCTCATTCAGTAGTCTATATTCCACAGATAAATGAGATTATATTGTGTGTTTCTTCTTCTGGCTTACTTCACTCAATATGACATCTTCCATTTCCAACCATGTTGGAAATTGCATGCTTTCATCATTCTTTGAAGCTGCATAGTATTTCATTGTGTATATATACCACATCTTCATAATCCATTCATCTACCATTGGATACCTTGGTTGATTTCTTATCTTAGCTATTATACTGAGTGTAGCAATGAATAATGGTGTGCATATGCCCTTTTGGAAGAGTGTTTTTGTGTCCTGGTGATAGATGCCCCAGAGTGGATTATACAGTACCGTGCAGTTTTGATCACTGTGGGTCCAAATTAGGTAATGAAATATCTCCCAAATTTTTATTTTTCATTATAGTTCTGGCTATTCACAGTCTTTTCTGATTCTATACAAACTTTATTATTGATTTCTATAGATCCTGGAAGAATGTTGCCTGAATTTGAATGGGGAGTGCATTGAATCTATATAATAGCTTAGGTAGGATAGTCATTTTAAATAATAGTGATTCTTCTGATCCATGAGCATGGGATAGTTTACCACTACCTAAGGTCTTCCTCTATCTCTTTCTTAAGTGATTTAAATTTATATGGGTTTTAAATTGTACTGGAAGAAAGAGACCCTCCAATCAAGAGGTCAGAATTGAAAACCTATGACAAAATCCCATATACATGGGCGGTTGATTTTCAGTAAAGGAGTTGAGAACATGAAACGGAGTAAATATAACCACTTCAACAAATGGTGCTGGGAAATTGGATAAATACGTGGAAGAAACTAAAGCTGGATCCATATCTTACACCTCACACAAAAGTCAATTCACAGTAGATCAAAGACTTTGAGATCCGACCAGAAAATGTAATGCACATTGAGGTAAATATAGACAGAACACTTCCAAGATTTGGACCTCAGAGGTGCCTTCAATGATCTAATACCACTGGCAAAGGCAACAGTAATAACAAAGAAAACAAATGGGACTACATGGTATAGATCTCTAATGTCTTTTGTTAAGCTGACTCCTAGATACTTGGTGTTTTTGTATACTATTTTAAATGGGATTGACTCCTTGATTGTTTTCTCCTCAGCATCATTCTTTGTTTAAAAAAAAAGCAACTGATTTTTTTATGTATTGACTTTGTACCTGTCCACTTTGATGTATTGATTTATTATTTCTAGAAGGATTTTTGTGGACTCTTTAGGGTCTTCTAGGTATATTGTCATGTCATCTGCATATAGTGATAATTTGAGTTCAATGTTTTCCTTTGGATCCATTTAATTTGTTTTTCTTGCCTGATTTTTGTTCCCAGGACTTCTAATACTATGTTGAACAGAGTGGAGAGAGTGGACATCATTGTCTTGTATCTGATCTCAGAGGGAATTCTTTCAGTGTTTCACCATTAAGTATGATACTGGCAATAGTCTTGTTATAGATGGCCATTATTATCTTGAGGAAGATACCTTCTACCCTATTTGATGAGGGCTTTTAGTCATGAATGGATGTTGGATCTTGTCAAATGCTTTCTATACATCAATTGATATGATCATATGATTTTTATATTTCTTTTTATTAATGTAGTATATTATGTGAATTGATTTGTGTATGTTGAATCATACTTGCATCGCTGGGATGAATCCCAATTGATCAGGGTGTGTGATTTTTGTGATATGTAGTTGGATTCTGTTAGCTAAGATTTTGTTAAGGATTTTTGCATCGATATTCATCAGGGAGATTGGTCTGAAATTTTCTTTTCTGGAAGTATCTTTGCTTTTGGTATTAGTGTATGTTAGTTTCATAGGAAGAATTCATGTGTCTTCGATATTTTGGAAGAGCTTAAGGAAGAGCTTATAGGCGGTAAATCTTCTTTGAAGGTTTGATAGAACTGACCAATGAACCCATCTGGACTGGGACTTTTGTTCTTGGAGAGATTTTTAATTACTGTTTCAATTTCCTTACTTGTAATTAGCTTGTTTAGGCTTTTTTACTTACTTTTCTTTCAGCTTTGGGAGATTATATGACTCTAAGAATCTACTTCTTCTAGGTTCTCCAGTTTAAGAGCATAAAGTTGTTCATAGTAACCTATCATTGTATTTTGAATTTCTGAAGGGTCTGTTGCAACTTGTCTTTCGCCTCTGATCTGATTTATTTGAATGTTTTCTCTGTTTTCCCCTCATAAGTCTAGCTAAAGGTTTATCTGTCACTGTCACTTTCCTCCCATTGTTCATCGATTTGCTCGAGCGGGCCCAATAACATTGTGAGACTTGTTATTGTGTTTGGCATGTCGAATACGTCAGGGGTAGCTTGCCAGGCTTTGCTGTGCGGGCGAGATACTCTTGGTAGCTTGCCGGGCTCCCTGGGGGCGGGGGGGGGGGGGGGGGAAGATTCTAACTCAGGTCAGCCATGTTGGCTGTGTGCAAGGCAAACGCTGTACCTGCTGTGCTATTGCTCCAGCCCATAAAAGATAAAGATAAAGGTTTATCTATCTTGTTTATTTTTTTAAAGAACCAGCTCCTGGTTTCATTGATTCTTTGAATTGCTTTCTTGGTTTTGCTATATTGTTAATGTCTCCTCTAGTTTTTATTTCCCTCCTGCTACTTTTTGGATCTGTTTGTTGTTCCTTCTCCAGATTTTTGTGGAATGTATTCAGGTTTTTGATTGGAGCGTTTCTTCTTAATGTAGGTCTGCATTGCTATGAATTCCCTCTTAGTAAACTTTTGCCATATTAGCTTGTGTCTTTATTATCATTAGTTTCAAGAGATCTTTTTATTTCTTCCTTGATTTCCTCTTTGATCAATTATTGCTTAGCATTTAGCAGTGTTTTGTTCAGCTTCCAGGTGTTGGAACTTTTTCCCATCTTCTTTCTGTGATTAATTTCTACTTTTATGACATTGTGGTCTGAGAAGGTAGTTTGTACAATTTCTGTGTTTGTAAATTTATGTACGTTTGAGTTGTGCCCTGATCTACTGCAGCCTCTTATTATCCTTTTAATGGCCGTTGAAGATGTAGTTACAAGTTCTGTTTAATTTTACAATTAATAATGTCTCATTTGTCAGTCTTCCTGGAGGATTACCAAATTCATTGTTATTTCTAAATCAGTGGTTTTCCTGATTTTTCTATTATTTTTCTGTTTTTAAATTCATTGATTTCTGCTCCAATTATATTTTCACTTCCTTTTGTCTGATTTGAATTACTTTTGTTTTTTTATATCTTTGAGGTTTTTATATTACTTAAGATCTTGATTTTTATCTTATATGAACATTTAGTACTCTGAATTTCCCTTTCAACAAGTGTTTTACTTTCTTTGGGAAATTTGGGGGAACACATATAGTGGTGCTTCGGGGGAGGGTTGCTCCTGGTCCTGGTTTGACCATGTAGTGCCAGGTATTGAACTGGAATTTCCTTATAAACTTCCAGAGTCTTCCTATTTGTATTTGATGTGTTTATGTCATATTTTTCTGGCCTCTTCTATGTACATTGTTTACTTATGTCTTTCTGATCTTTGTATTAGCTTTATTTACATTTTGCTTTGAAGCCCCTATTTGACATCAGTGTTGTAATACATGACTGGGTCAGGGATGTGACTAAGCGGTGGAGTGTATACCTTGCCTGGGTTAGGTTCTCAGTTACACCCCAGCACTAATAGAAAGGTTACTATAGAATTACGCATAATATTTGACAATAACCACTTTAAGATGCTGTCCTATCTGTGAAAAACTGTCTCCTCCCGCTTTCTGTAGATATGTTTTTGACATTTAACCTTGTCTGGCTTGCTTGGAGATTATCTATGACATTAATCATTTCAAAGTACTAGCTCTTTGTCTTCATTAAGCACCTTAAATTTATTTAAGTTTATTTTTATTACTATTTATTTTCCTGTTTTTGCAATTTTTTTCTACTTGTAAGGTTTTGCTTATGAATACTTGCTTATTTTGATTATGTCACAAATGGATGTTGAATCTTGTCAAAAGTTTCCTGCATCTATTTATATAATCATATCTTTTTTTATCTTTCCTTTTGTTGATATGTTGTATTACACTAATTGTTTTACTTATGTTTGTCTTGCGCACAGCTGACCAGGCAAATGCCCTACCTGCTGTAGTATCGCTCCGGCCCCTCATATTCTGTTTTGATGAATAACTAGAATATGTATTGACTGAAGTCTGCCTACCTTACAGTGTCTAATGCCACGGACTGTATTTTGGGATACTAAGGAAATGCTTGTGGGGTAAATGTTGAGTGTTTGACCATGTGGACACTGTCTTCCAGGTTTCTTGGCATTTCTGTGGGGTTCCTGGGCCAGATCCTGTAGGAAGGATACAGGATCTTCCTTCTGGCTTCAGCAGCTCTGGTTGAGCCTTGGGCTCCTGGGAAGAGTGAAGTTGTCAGCAAGAGAACCTGAGGGCCATCAGGAACATGCAAGCTAACCAGAGGGATTTGGGGGGTCGAGACAATTACTGTGAGGTAAGGAGGAAGAAGAGGTACCCAGGGGCAGACTTCATCCAGAATAGTACCTCATTATATTAATTTGTGTGATTTTCTCCAGGCAGACTTGCCCCTTCCTCTCTCCATTTTTAATCTTTGGTTTTCAAGTATTAAGACTAATATCCCTTTATGAATCATATATATATATGGCTATTTTCACTGCTTTATAATTTGTAGCTTTTTAAAACACTTTGCAGATGGTCAAAGATGTCAAGTAGCTCTTTAATACTTCTTTAAAAAATGCTATTTTTTTTTCTTCCACATTCCATTCCAGCAGCTATGGGTGCTCCTGGATGCAAACATTATTTGTTTTAACAAACTCTGCTGTACTTGGGGCATTTTCTGTTGACTTTTTACTATGAAAGGTACAGACAGATTTTTCAACAGTCCTTTCCATATAGTCAGATTTCCTATAAATACTATTTTGAATCACATCTATCATCATTGTTCATTACTGTGACTGACTATGTTTGAGTCATGTGGTACACATGCCATGATTACTGTTTCTGTACAACTTTTTCTTTTCCCTGGAGTGAGCAATTAACAGGTTATTACTTTTTTATTTTATGCCATCAATAATTTAACCCCAGGTTCTTCTCAAGTATTTAAATATTTTCTCTGTATATTCAGACATGTTAGATAATAATTGTAATTGTAGTTAGGTAATAACTGTATTTACAAAAACTTATATAGTGTTTGCTGTATGCCCAGTAATATTGCATTTGTTCTATAGATACTAAATTATCTTTACAACAGCCTTGAGAAGTATCTCCATCATTAGAGGGGAAATAAACATTCTGGGTCAAGTTCACCCTGCTAGGTATAGGTGGGAGTGCTGTCAACCTTGGGAATCAATTCTTTCTGTCTTTCTCTCTCGTGCGTTCTCTCTCTGTCTTCTCACTTCTCTCCTCTTTCTTCTTTTTCTCTCTGATTTTGGGCCACACCTGGATGTGCTCAAGGTTTACTCCTGGCAGCTGGCAGGACCCAGGAGACCCTTTTTTGACTGAGGATATAATTCCAGGCTGGAAATGAGGATATAATTCCAGGCTGGAAATGACATTTTTTCTTTTTTTTAATTAAATCACCATGAGATACAGTTTCAAATCTTTCATGTTTGAGTTTCAGTCATACAATGATCAGACACCCATCCCTCCACCAGTGTGCATTTTTCACCACCAGTGTCCCCAGTTATCCCCCCCTCTTCCCAAGCCTTCCACTGCTTCTATGGCAGACAATTTTCCCCATACTTTCTCTCTATTTTTGAGCATTATGGTTTGTAATATTGATACTGAGAGGCTATCACGTTTGGTGCTTTATCTACTTTCAGCACACATCACCCATCCCAAACGATTCCTCAACCATCATTGACTTAGTGGTCCCTTCTCTATCCCAGATGCCTTCTCCCCCAGCTTGTGAGGCAGGCTTCCAACCATGGATCAATCTTCCTGGCCCTTGTCTGTACTGTCCTTGGGTGTCAGTCTAATATTATTTTATATTCCACAAATGAGTACAGTCATTCTATGTTTGTCCCTCTCTTTCTGACTCATTTCACTTAGCATGATACTCTCCATGACCATCCACTTATAAGCAAATTTCATAACTTCATCTTGGAAATAACTTTTGTGCACAAGTTAGAAAAAACCTGCTGATAATGTAGTTTTTCTGTTCTCATATTTTTCTTGCTTTGCAAAATACTGTTTTTAAATTTTCTATCCTTTTGTATCTATGATTTGATCACTAGTAGAGGATGACATCAGAACAAGGAATTTTATTTTTAAAATTTTTATTTGGATACCATGATGTACATAGTTGTTTACACAGATTTTCAGTCATACAATTTTCCCACCTCCAGTCCCATTACCCCTTGTCCCCCACCTCCACCACTGACCCCAGGTTCCTTCTCACCCCTCAATCTGACTCCTTGAAAGTTACATTTTTAGTTTAATTGTTATAATTTCGACTCTATACTCATGATGATGTTGGAGCTAGTGGTTTTGTTATAGCTACAGATCACTTCACCTCTATTCAGTAAAGGAGCCTAAGGCCCCTGATGCAGTTTTTGTTTTTGTTTTTGTTTTTTGTGGGGGGCCCACCTGGTGATGTTCAGGACTTACTCCCTTCTCTACACTTAGGAATCATATAAGTGCTTGGGCAGGGCATATGGGGTGCTGGGGATCAAATCTGCATTGGTCATGTGCAAAGCAAGCACCCCACCTGCTGTAATATTGTTCTAGCTCCTAGACCCATGATTTCTTTTTTTATGATGTAGGAGTACTGCTATTTATTCAGCCACTGATTAAGCTGATTGAAGTGGACTTGAACTCCACTGACCCTTGATTCTTGCCCCTCTGTTGCTTCCAGACTTCTTTCTTGCTTCTCCCCTTTATTTCTCTCTTTCCTTGAAATTATTGCACACCGGTTATCTGTAATTCTCTAGATATGTTAGTCTTTATACCACAGATTAGTGAGAACATTCAGTGTTTGACCTTGTCCTTGTGATTTACTTCACTTAACATAAGATCCTAGTTCTATCCATGTTGAAACAAATTGCATGATTTCAATTGGGTGCTAACTCCAGGCCCTTATCATGTCTTCTCAGCTCACCTTACCTTCATCTTTAATTTTTTTCATTTTGTTTAAGAATTTTCCCTTCCTTCTCTTTTATTATTGTTGTGTTTGTGATGACAGAGGAATGCACAGACTTGATTACAGCATTTGCATACTTGGGTGTGGTGCTTGACAGGGCGTGCATACTTTGTTGCTGTGCTCACATGCTTTTATTTTGTGGTGCTTGAGCACACTTTGTATGGCTTACTAGGATGGTACTTGGTTTTAAGTGTTCATACGATTTTGGTTGTAGTGCTTGCTGAGGATCACATGCTTGATTGTAGTGCTCACACAGTTGTGGTTCCCACAAGAAATCACATGGTTTGTTTTTAGTTACTTTGCTTGCACATACTTGGTTGCATACTTTTTTAAAGTGCACTTTGGTTGTTGTGGCACCAGAGATGACAAATAGCAGAATTGCTGAGATCACACTGGAGTATGTGGAGAAGTGCTAGAGACTGAACTCACAGCCTCACTGGCCTCACAGGCACTTGCAGCTGAGCTATCCCTGGAGACCATATTTTATTTTTAAATTAAAATCTCTGGGGCTGGAACAATAGTACACTGGGTAGTACACTTTGCCTTTCACATGGCTGACCCAGGCTCGATTCCCTTGCATTCCATATGGACCTCAAGCCACACCAGAAGTGAGTGCAGAGCCTTAAGTAAGCCCTGAACACCCCTGGTGTGACCAAAAACCAAAAATTATTTTTAAGTTCAGTTTGTGAAAAATCATTTTGTTTTTACGATTAAAAGGGTGTAGATTTGAGATTCCAAAAAGGGCATATTCTGTATATTTTCTCATCATATGTTGTAACTGTTAACAAAAGTTTCTACTTTTACATATGGAACTTGAAGAAAAGAGGGTTCTTTCTGTTATTTTGCATAATATATAATTTTTGACAGGAAAAGGAAAATTATTTTGTGAAACAAAATGTATTTTATTTTTTCTACTTTATTCAAACACTGTGGTTTATAAACTTGTTCATGATAATTTGTTACAGGCATTCAGTATTCCAACACCAGTCTTACCACCACTGTCACCTTTCCTCCACCATTGTCTTTATTTTCCCAATCAACCATCAAGCCTACTTCCATATCAGGCCCACAATAATTTATTTTTTTTTACTTTTGAAATCCACTTTTTATTATATGTAGTGCTGGTTTGAACCAAGGTCAGTGGCATTCAAAGCAAGTTCCTTGGCCCTTTTATTACTTCTTTGTTCCCCCACTCGTACCTTTTAACAAAAAACTTAGATTTCTTAATTTTAATAGTCAGATCTTTACTTCAAATTCAGATGTGTCAACTTAGTATTTCTTAACAACTGAGGGACAGAACCATCACAGGCTTCAACAATCTTTTGCTTAGGGGCTGACTTTTTGGGATCCTTAGCAGCAGCCATTACTGTTTTTTTTTTTTTTTATAGATGATTGCTTTGCTTTCTTTGCTTCCTTGGCAGCCCTAATAGCTTGTTCCCACTGAGCCTTTCTAATGTCAGGTTTCTGATTCCTCTTGGCCAATATATATATACTTCAAAAGGTGTACCAGTGATGGTCTTTTGGACCACAGAAATGAGTGCTTTTCTTTTGAATTTCTTCGGATTGTCCTTTTTGTGCTTTCTTCTATAGAGGGACAGACCATTTTTTGCTGAGGATTTCTCTTGGAAAGAAATGCGTTTTGCTTTAAAAACTGGAAAACCTTTCTGTCATTTCTAGCATAGAGCCTCCCATGTCCAGAGTAGACCGTGTACCCTCTGAAACTGCACAGCTCAACCCACATTGCTGCCACTGCCAGGGAGAGTGTAAAGTTCCACATTCCACTACCTGGAATGGTGTGGCAGCATGAAGAGTTCAGGAGCTGTGCAGCTGAGGTCCACAGTGATTTATTTTATATTGTTTGTTACCATTAAATGGCTAATGAAATGATCAAAAACTATTTCTATAGAAGAAAATATAATGGCTTCTCCATTATATCCATCCAATTTGGTGAGCTGCTACTGGGATGTCAGTGTCGTAGAGTTTGGAGATATCACTCCAGAAAATCCAGAATATTTAATTGGGCAGTTTGGCCAGAGGTATGATGGTGACTTTGGAGTGTGGTAGCGGCTCCTTGGGTTTTGTTTGGACAGGAGATGGCCCACCCCTCTCTGAGATTGCCCTGGGAGTCTCAGCTGGGCATGGGTACCTAAGAACTTTTTGGGGCTACTTGCTATATTTTGAGATTTATTTATGAATCTCTGAAATAAGGCCAGAAGCTGAATTCACATAAAACTCATTTTCAATATATAAAAAAAATTTTTTTCTTTTCAGAATATTCTCTTTACATAACATGCTATTTTATGGATACAGCATCTTATTATTCTAAAATATTA